TTAGTTCTGTAAAATTATTTTTAAATATTATTTTGAACTTTTTTTTTTAAATAGAATCCATTTAAATTTACAATAATATCAGTGAAGATACAAGAGAAAACAAAAAAGAGCAATAGAAATTTTTTCAAGATATAGCTAAGGTATTTGATATAATTAGTTTGGAAATTCTAATTAAAGCAATAAAAAAATTAAAATATTCAAAGGATTTATTAAGATTATAATGAGTCTATTTAAAAAAAAAAAGTTCAAAATAATATTTAAAAATAATTTTACAGAACTAATAAGAACAGGAAATAAAATTGACAAAGGAGAAACTATTTAATACTGATGTGAAGAATTTTTTATAATTCTTTGCTATGCAAAATACAAGAAAATAAAAAACAAAGATACAAAATAGTAGTCTTATAGAATCTTGAACTAAATAGTAACACTACTAAGAAATTAGAATTAAAACAAATAATCATAACCTTTATAAATAATACTACTTGAATAACAAGATTAAAAGAGAATATGAAAAAGATCCTAGAGACAACAAGGATCTTTTATAAAGCAAATAGCTTCTAGATTAATAATAAAAATTAGTACTAGTTACTATTAATAATTTTAATTACTATTCAAAAGAAGTTCATGTAGGAATCTACAAAAAAGTAGTTAGAGAACTTAATAAGAGAGAGCAAATAAGATTCTTAGAGATTTGAATAGGTAATCAAAAAATTGTAATTAAACTAAAGAAAAAGTATTAAAAGAAATTAATATTATTATTAGAGCTCTTAAATATAAAAAAATAATCAATAAGCAAGCTCTTTATATATCAAATAGAATATTAATTTTAAGAATAAAGTTGAAATATAGTATAACATATTGTTCTGGAAAATATGCAATATCTTAATAGTAGTATATTCAAGAACAAAATAATCTTATATAAATTCATCTCTAACAGTATGATTCCTTATTTAAAAATATATAATCTTAAAAGTATATAGATACTCAAAAAAAAAAGTCAAATTACAAGACTTTGTAATATAATAAATGATCTAGATTCAACAAGGTTAACTATTATTATTAGATTGAAATAAGTATAGATTAAACATTGGATGCCTCTCAATTTTCTCTTATATGAATTTTTATTTCACCTTAATAATAAAAGAAATTTTATATTAAAGTATTAAGGCTAGCCAAGGACTTGAATTAACTTTTTAGAATTAAAAGTGAAATGATATCTTTAAATAGACTAAAGGCAACAGTTTAATTTAGAAACATTTAATATTTAAAGGATATAGAAAAGCAATAACATCTTTATAAAATAATAGGTTAATATATATAGATTAGTTAATAAGCCAAAATCCATAAAATTTAAAAGTGAAAAATAGTTCAACTTATTCAAAATGCAAGCAAGGGTCAATTCTAGGATGGTATGATATCTTACAAAGAATCATAATCAAAAAAAGTGTAAAAGGTTTAACAAAACTTTGAAAAAAGAAATAGGAAGAAAAATGGATGCTAAAATATATTAAGCTTAAATCCAGTAGTAATAAAAGAAAAAAAACTTATTGTTACTCAGAAAAAAAGTCAACAAATAGTATAAGGAAGCTAATCCAAAAAAATAGTCAAGGTATAATTATAATTTGTCACTTCAATCATTAAACAATAGAAGATGGTTTAAAAACAATTCTTATTAAATATCTAGGATGTTTTCCAAATAATAAAAATGAAAACAAATATAGTATAGAAGTAGAATCAGATGTGATTTATACTATATTATTCCTCATTTACTAAAAAAATACTAAAAGAGTATAATTGCTAAAAATTTCTTGTTTCTTACTTAAACTTAATAAGATAATAATAGCAAGTATAATTATAGAAACTCAAGACTCAAGAAATAATTAAAATGAAAAAATGAAACAAGTACTAATAGGAGATTGGAAATAAAAATACTTCAAAAAAATATCAAGCAAAGAGTATATCTAAATAATCTACTTGAAATTTTTTAATGTAATTAAGAATTATAGGATTAATTGATCTTTTACTTTGATGAATCCTTAATTGATCATGGAAACAAGAATGTAAAAATGAAAGTAGTATGAATACAAGCTGAAGAAGCTAAAGAAGAAAATAAATTTCAAATAAGGATAAAAAATTGACTATTGTTCATATGGGTAAAATTGATGATATTAGTTACAATAGTTTTAATGGTCCTAATAAATAGTATAATAGAAATTTTTACCAATAGTCAAGTCTATATCTTTGAATGAAAAAAGCTCAAGAAAGAATATTCCAATATAATATATAAAAAATAATCAAAAGAAAAGAATTGATTATTATAGATAAGAATATTAGATCTTATAAAGAAAAAGTATATTTAACTGACTTTAATTAAAGTCAAAGTCTACTTTAATAATTCATGAAATAAAAAAATAAACAGATTAATTAAAAAAGTACTAAAGTTTTTAGTAATTGAATAAAATAGTCTCAAATAAGCAAGATATCTATTGAATTATTATGATAAAAGAATATAATAGATAGTTCAATTTGATAGTTTATCCAACAAATCAACAAAAAATCAACTATCTTGTTATAAATATAATAATATAAAACAGAAGCCAAATAATATTATCAAGTCTAAAAACATTAAATCTATTCATGAGACTTAATATAAAATAGAATAAAGGATAATAGTAAATAAGATACTTTCTTTAAAGATTTATAAAGAAGAAGTTTACTAATTAAATTAATCAACAATGAACTACCTATTTTAAGTAAACTAGTAATAAAAAGATCTGACTTATACAAGTAAGCAAGATGTATAGTATATAATCAAAAAAGAAAATGATTGAATATTTACTAGAATATCTTGATTACAAAAATTAGATCCTGGCAATATGACAAAAAAAGTTTTAAAATGATTCTTAAAGAATTTAATAAATTGTATTGAGATAGAAAAAGAAAAATAGATAAAAAGAAGATAAAACTATCAATCGACAATAAAAGGAGAAAAGTAAGGTAGACAGATTGACTATCAGGTTTATAGAAGCAACTTTACAAACTGGTTCATGCATACTTAACTTTTGTGTAGGATAGTAGAAAAAGACATGATTAAAGAAGCTGCCAATTTAAATTATTATAGTAAGAAACTAGAAACAATAATAAAAAAATAAATTCTAGAATACAAAAGTAAGTTTGCAACCAAACTCTATAAATAAGTCTGAAATGAAAGATGTAAAAAGGTCATAAAATGGAAATAAGAGCAAAGAATCAATAGAAGAGTAAAAAACAAGAAAACTTAAGAAGTAAAAAGACAAGACAAGATGTTCTATAAGATTATTTTAATTACAAATCACAAGGCAAAGTGAAGAAGAAAGAGATAGTGAAAACAAAACCTTATAGAAATTATAAAAAATAAAATTAAATATAGGATGAAATGGTTGGGTTTTGATCCTCATTAGAATCTTGAGAAGTGATCTACAATAGTGACCTGTGAATAAAGATGTTAAAAGTTGAAAGTGTTTTTACCTGAATTACTAATGGAATAATAAATCACTTCTGAAGTTGCACTTAGAGTTTTAGACAAAAACTTTGATGAGTGAGTTAGAGATTTAGCTTTAGCATCACATCTATAATGTATAGCCTACAATTGTTTAATAAAGCACACAAAACTAGCCTGACAAAGGGTTAAAAAAAATACAAAAATAAAAAATAAAAACTGAGAAATAGATACTTTATTTTTTAATCAAATCAATATGTATTTTATTTAATATAATTAATAAATTAAGTTTGAAGAATAAATTCAATTAAATGATTTTTTAATTATCATTTGTAATGAATCTGCAATTAATACTGTAATTCTTAAATAAAATAATATATAATTTAAAAAGAATGCATAGAGTTGACTAAAACAAAGTGAATGTAGACCCCTCGAACTAATAATTTTATGACAATTTAAATTGCTCAACTTGTTTTTATCCGATGTACAGTATTTTTAGTGTTATTGTGCCCTTGATACCTTCACTAGACGCATGAAGTGATCGTAATTTGAATATGCGGGCAGACCAGTTTAACATCATCCTTTATCAAATTTACCCTACCTATGAAATTTGCTGAACAGGTTGAGTGAACGTTGTATTAGTACATAGAATAGACCAACACGTCGTCTCTCGCAACAACATTTTCGACTTTATAATCAAAAATTGGAACGTGCGTTTTTCGTGCATTCATATGAAAAATTCTATACAGTACTGGGTAAACATGTTAAGGAACGCCATAAGCATTTATTTGAGCTATGATAAAATGGTAATTCAAATTCGAAAACACTCTAATTAAAAACTTTTGTTTTTTAAATATACAGTATATAATTTGTACTAATGTACATGTAATATATGATGCCGAGTTTTTACAACAATGATTTTTTTAATCACATAAATTTACAAAAAAAAAAAAAATAACAATAATAAGATTATGCATATCTATAACGAATATGTGTATGTTAGAAAAGTTGATTATGCATATCTATAACGAATATGTGTATGTTAGAAAAGTTGATTAAGAAATAACACAGAATTCTGGTGAAATTTAAAATCTGGTTCTATTAAACAATCTCCCCAACAATAACTTCCCCTTCTGCTCTATTTCCTCCCCACCCAAGGGGGCACCTGATGATATTTGCGATATTATCAAGTGATCGCTTTCTTTGCCAGGGGAAACATCCCGAGTGACAATCTGTTCCACAGATATTCCATAATTTCTAGGTCTAACGTTTAAATCAATGGTGTTAAAAAAAAGAAATAAATAAAGAAGCATGATATATATATATAAATATGATCGTTAGCTTACTTTATTCTTATTGATTCCCTCAATTTTCTCTTTTTCTCTTTCATCATGTCGCTGTCAATTAATGCTTTGCCACCTGACAATTCCGAGTCGTCTTCAGAATTAGGAACGAATTGATTCGTTGATTCAGAAACCATCGATATTGGCGAATCCATCATAATGTCTGGTGTCACGTTTGTGGATATTATCGGTCGCACACGTCTTGATGTTATAAATTTTTCTTTGAGTAATGCAGGAGAGTGTAATAGAATAGTGCGTAGGGCATCTGAGCAAACAAAAGCGAGATCAATACGATAATACATGACAGGTTTGGGTAAAAGGATTAAAAAATCAAATCACCTTTCTTCAGTTGTTCTAGGAAATCCAGCCATGACCACGTCTTATTGCGGTATTCTAATGTGGGCATATGAATTACAAAATCATACAAATCTTCCAGGTTTTTTTCTTTTGCACCCTAAACCAATTTCATTTCGCGATATGAAAATTTTAAGTTAATCCTCAAATGCAAAGCAAAATATACAGTATATATATATAACCAACAAAAATATTAACCTGATAACTGAAACTATGCATCACTCCTGGTACTTTTATATAGATAAAGGTCCGGTTCTGGGATGCTCGGATCTTCATTAACTCTAATTCGTATGACTGCTCTGTGTTGTGATCGATTACTGGTTTTATAAAATGTTTCTTCGAAGACGTCTGAACTGTTAAATTATGTGAGGACCCATCATCCAAAGTGTCGGCTTCACTTGAAGATTCCGGAGTCTCACCAGTTTCTTCGTGACCAGTTTCTCGTGCACTTTTGGCAATCTTTTCTGAAGATTCATTTGATATTCTTTTAGCGGAGCCACGACCATTCCGAGCGTTCTCCATCATCCCTTCTCCGGACTCATCTATGTAAGCTCTCTTCTTCTCCGGAAATATATACATCATAATGAGTTTACCAACATCGTACTGCATTTGGAATTTGAGAGGAAGCATGTTGACCTCAAAATGTTCAACAATATCGATTCCAGCGACTGGTTCCAACTGACTCCAATAAACTCGTATCATCTTGTGACGACTAAAATCAACGGGACGCAGAGGATCAACAATATAGGGACATATTAATTCTTTGAAAACGGGTGATGGAAGTTTATTTTTTACAAGAACATGGTCTATCTCTAAAATATACATATTTGAATTTTCTTCCTTTGTCATCCAAGCAAAATGCGCATTCTTCAATGCCCATTCACAAAACGAAACTCGGTCGCTGTTCTGCATGATCCACGCAACTTCGTCAACAGTGACTATGAACTTTAATGCCATCTTGCTTTCTGCCTTCTTCTTTTTGTTTTGAGATGCAGTGATGGCCTCCATTAATAAACATAGTTCTTCCTGTAATTCTGCGAGCTCTAAATCGACAGACCAAAGCTCTTCTATGCTATCTTCATCAAACTTTTCATGGGATATTTTGAATCGATTTCTTAATTCGTCCAATTGGCGAATATGCTCTTGCAATGACAATACCCTTTCGGCTGCACCATCGAGATTATCCAGGTCTGCTGCAAGAAGGATTGCGTTTAATCGTTCCGAACGCTCTTTTTGGGCAGGCTCACGATACGAGAGAAGGTTGGTGACCACATCAAACAAGATACAATACTGATCCGATGTTGCAGATAATTTGATGATTGGAAAATCTATGTACCACAAATCCATTCTTTTGTGAAAATCATCTTGCTCCAAGTCCTCCATTCCAGTCTTCTCCAGTCCTTGGTCGGATTCATCCTTATCATTATTGCTACCCTTTATACGTAAATTATTAAATTTATCATATTGCATCGTAGCAGATGTATGTTTTACGATTCTTTGGAAAGGAAATGCACTTGAATTATTGATAAGCGCTTCAATTGGAACCCAGACGGGCCAATTCTCTCCGCCTTTGGAACCGTAATTATTGGCAGAAAGAATTCTCGAAAAATCGCTACTAAAGTCTTCCTTTGTGCTAGTAAAGAATTGTGCATTGTCCAATCCAAAGAAGGTCCTGGTTTTGACCACTTCGTTGATAAAATCACCTTCTGACCAATCTTCAAGAACGGAAAATATTTTCAACTGGGCCCGTTCCATACACATTGTAACACTAGAATGAGGGTTTTTGTCGCATTGGAAATTGATCTGCGGATTTATAAGCTGGACAATGTATTTTTTCCAGAGCGAATAGCCTTCTGGAATGTCGTCGTGAATATTTTTGCCCTCCTCTCTCGTTGAATTCTGGACGGGCTTGTTAGGCTTAATTGTTTCATCTGGTACAACAAAATTGACCGCCTTTTCTCCATCAAGCTTTCGCAACATTTCCGCGGCCATACTTGCATCAAAGTTGTAATCATCTATCCCGCTCTCCGTCGATTCTGAATTGTTTTGTAGTGATCTTTCGAGCTTTTCCTTTTCTATTTTCCGGAGAATATCCTTTTGCATATCTCGAATAAACTTGACGGCATTCATCGACATGTAATAGGTAAGTCCTTGATTTCTTTCTACAAGGTTCCATAGCCTATAGATTAAGTTACGCAGAGAATTGTTCCATAAGGCCTCCGCGTTGTAAATCACAAAACGATGTTCAAAAAATTTATGCGAGTTCTCGGGGTCCTCCTCGCTCTGTTCGTCCAATCCAATCCCTTCTTTAGAGTCAATAGACTCTGAATTTTCCTCCAGCCTATAACCTAGTATCAGATTCCACCTGTCGGACAGTGTGGTGATGGCCTCTTGAACGTTCTGAAACTATTTGAAAATAATACAAATGAAATAGTGATCAACAGCCGGGGTCTTAAAGTCTGAACGGAAAAAAAGTGACTTGACAAATACTTCTTCCTGCAGATCTTGGTTTTCCGGATCATCAACTATTTTTTCCCTAATATCCGCTAGTAATTTATTCTGATGTTCAATATTCTGTCTAATTCGAGCCAGCCTATCAGTTAGAAAATCTAATTGGACTTTCTTCGTCTCTGATTTTCAGGATAATCGGTTTAAGGTTAAAGGAAATGAGTAGTAAAACGAACTAAGAAAAACAAAAAGACATAAGTACCTCGTGCATGACCCATAAGGCAAACATGAGTTCCTTGATCAAATTTTTTTTCCTCCGCAGTCTCCTGTTTGTCAGGTCGTTTATAATAATTCAATTGCGGACTTCTCAACAAGGGCAAAACTCTCACACCAGGTTTGACTTCGGGTAACACGCAATCCAACTCCATATAATCATCCTCGTCAATCCACAGCTTATCTTCAATGTGATTCATCGAGAAATCCTTGTCCTCGCCTAGCGAAAACTCACCATCCTCATCATAACTCGTAAATGCACCTTCATCCACATACCGAACGGCGATACCACGTACATCCAAATTCTTTAGTTCTATCTCAGCCTCGTGCAATACGAAATCCCGACTTTTTACTTCCTTTCCGTCTAAAACAATTGTGTTTTCTTGCATCCTGAAATGGAAGTCGTGTATGAAACTTCCTATTTTTGATTTTATTCCCAGAATATTTGTCGTGCCATTAAAGGGATTATGAAAAGAACTTTCCCGATAGAAATTACTGATAAACAATGTCCCTACGCAGATTTTAACTTTGATGGATTGCAAAAACTTGCCGAGTTTTGGCGATGGAGATTCGAGAGAGGGAAACAGTGCACCCTGACGAATTGGTATTGACATTGCTGGATCAAAAAGTGACGCCCAGGCTAAACCGTGCTGAAGCGACTTGGGACTAACGTTTATAGAATTTCTTAAATTGTACAGTTCTTCATTGCTTATGTCAACCGATCCATTCCACTCAAGAGGGCACGTGAGGCTTATGGAAAGATGGATAATGTCCGATCGAAAGTTCTTAAAAGAATCATATACCTGCGAAAACAAGCGTTTTAGGAGGTCTCCTGCGAAATAAGGGTGAAAAGACGAGATCAAGACAAAAATCATTTACCTCTCCCTCAGGTGCAATGGCGTATTCAGGCATTCTAGTGATAATCTTGTAATGTGGAATAAAATCCTCATAACGGCATTTTCCCTTTCCATCACACTTTCCGCACACGCCTCGATTTTGACGACAGCTTCGATCAAAGTGACAACCCATACCGTATCTGACTCCTCCACAAAGTTTCATGATGCACTTAAGAAATAGATAATTTGGATCATCGGAAACCAACGTGCTCTCGGAGCTTTGCGTTTTTATTGTACTTGCATCCGAGTTAGCAACACCACTGGAGCACGAGGCTTGAACTTCCGATTTGACGTTATCAGGGGACAAGCTACCATTGGCTATAACGACATTCAGGTTTGGAATCGCCAAGGCGAATTCTTCGCTATCAACTTGTAAAACTTCATTCTGATCATTTGCATATCCAAGCCTTATCTCAACATCCTTTCTCCAGCATAGGACAAATCCTGCCCCTTTTCCAGTGATAAGATAGGGATCGCGAGTGCCCTTTGCGAAGAACTGCACGTTCCCTTCACCCCTGAAATCCATGAGAACTCTAACGTGCATCATGAGTCTCATTTTATCCCAAAAACCAATGACCTCTGAAGGGTCAGGGTTCGGCTTGGTAAAACTTTCAAAAATCTTTGCAACATGCTGCAGTGCAGGCTGCATAAACATACCCCACGAAACAATCATCGGTTTTGAGGTGTTTACGTCGATGTGAAGGTCAGAGTATATTTTGACAGGTGAAATCGTTCGTGGAACGACAATTTCATACAAAGCGTCGCCACATCTGTGAGGAGACATGATCTTAACGATCGCTTTTTTCACCGATTCCTTTCCTTGCAACTCCTCTCCGATAACCAAATCTCCCTCTATCGTACAAGAATATGGACGTTTACCGTTGAACAAATCAGCAGAAGGAATGCATGCCAACGGTAACGGATAATCACGAATCTCCGCCCATACCTCCTTAAATTTGCAATTCAAGTGTATTGGTACCAGAAGCGTAAATTTGGTATCTAGAGGCAACCCCTTCCCTATTGTATTCAAATACTGAGGCAATTCATTGATAGGAAACGAAGGACCTGATAATGTCAGCAAAAGTTTTTCCACAGTGACCCTGAGCAAAGCCGGATGTCGCGAAGGTTTTGTTACCGAAATAGGTAATCCTTTTTGAGTCTCGTCAATATTGTTCCGGAACTTGGGTTTTGCAGCACGAGCTGCTTTGATGCACTTGATCCAACTTCTTGAATTGTACATGTCCAAACGAGTTCGTGCTTCATCAATTGAAATATTTGCTTGAGGTGAAGGCTGAGGACGGAACCTATTGTATCGTGGTTTCTTGGAATGCCGGTCTGGCGTTCCTTTTCCATGTGACACGCTTTGTCCGCCATCCCTCGACGAATAATCCTCTACAATTAAACCTTTTTCATTCGCTTCGTCAGAAGGATTCACGTGCGATCTGATAGCATTTACTTTATCTTCAAATGCAACTTCTCTTTCCAGCCTTTCTCGTTGCTCGAGGCAACCAAGTTTCCATATTGTCGATAGCTTTCCCTCAAATGGATCGTCCTCCAAACGAAAAGTCACGATGGCAACTTTCAACTGGATTGTCGGTAAAATCTTAGGCCCTTCTTCCTCAGGATCCAATACAGATAAATCATCAGGCTTGAAAATACGTTGTTGTAATTGCTTTATGGACTTGGCCATGTTGGCCGCGTTGTCGGTGACATCGGCTAAGACGTATTTGTAGGGGATACGGGCGTGGACTGCATCGGCTTGCACCCGAATCATTTTTCCGGCGATTGGAAGTTTTGCTTTTGAGTCTCTCCTGGTATCATCATCCATCAACAAAATTCTTGCGTTCTCCACGTCCACCAGTTCATCCCATAGCCCCTCCTCGAGAGCACTGGTTCCATAAATTCTCAGCACTTTGATGCGAACACCGTGATCCTCGGGAGATGTAAATCTATATTTCAAACCATCAACTCTTGTAAATAATTTTATATTCTCCGGAAGTTCAACCGAAATATTTGTATGGTTAACTAGGACATCCGCCTCTATCAACCTTATATTCTTTTCACTCGAATATTTTGATTGCGAAACATTTTTCAAGGCATGGTCACTCGGCGGTGGTATTAACTTAACCAGATTCATCACTCCGACCAAGCAACAATAATGATAAAGCAGAGAATAGGTGACATTAATCTTGGAGACTTTGACGTTGAATTTTATCGGGAAACTGCAGCCCCCATCTATATACTCGACACCCAGGTTTCCATTAACATCGACCTCTGGAATCCACAGTAATGGAGCCGTGTTTTCACGCAGTTCTGGATCCCAAAGCGCCAATATCGGCGTTACTTTAAAATCCTTAATAAACCCATGAATCACGCCTCCATTTTCACACTGGATATTGTCGTCGTGAGCTGCAAGGCCAAGTCTGATCCTTTCATTGACGTACTGTTTGTGTTCAATTGAAGCATTGGCACCGTTGTAATTCAATGCAATTCCTTGAAATTGCACGTCGATGCCTCTCGACGTTGAAGGATCGATGTACGGATCGGTTTCGACTATTCTGATTCTTATTGAGGTGAGAGAGACATGGACCAGCAGAGATTCGAGAAAAATTGGCAAATACTGAGAGTTCCCAGGTGATGGATGAGTCAATATAACGGAATGTTCAGGGTAACGATCTTTTGTTCCCATCTTTTTCAAACTTCTGTTCGAAATGACATTTGTGATTTTTTGTAATATTCCGAAAGTGTTCTTGCTGTAAATATTTATGTCAAATACGTCAAACAACCAGCTGAAATCCATCTTGGTCGTTTCTAACTCCAACGACGCAGCAAATGATGTTGATTCGTCCTGATCTATATAACCCGAGATATTACCCAATGCTGATGAAGCAAAATTTACTTCCCAAGAATGATTATGGATTAGATCCGACTCCATTGTGTATAACCTCATCTTCCTCGTTTTCAGACTCGCGATTAAATTATACATGAACGAGAAATCTGAAGGTGATGAATCTCTGTTATACCTTCGCGACGTCGCAGATTCTTTCCTGGCTTCGTGCAAATAATTTGATTCGGGGCATTCCACATAATCGCCATTTACGTCAAACAGAATATTCTGAAATCCGAATGAAAGCGATTTATATTCTTCAGAGGATGAAACTCCAGTTATTTTTATCTGTGGACTAATCACGGATACAGTGGATATTATCTTTGGAACATTCCATATTCTTTCCTCTTCCCCAAAGTCAGATGAGCTGGGAGTGGCTTTCAGAGGGGTAATACATTCATCCGAATCATTTTTCACATTTAAGTCATCAAGAAATTTGTCGACCACATCAAGACGGTCGAATGCGAAAACTATTTCAGGAGAAATAATGTCCAATGTTCCAGTCACGGACAAAGAATTTGGATCATATTCTTCGGTCCAGGAGAGTGGCTTCGAACAGTTAATAGCGCTCGCAATCTTGTCAACCTCCATCGATCCAATTACTCCTTTCTTATCAATTACATCCCCATATATACTATCTATCGAAAATTCAAGCTTAAATTCAAGTGACTTCACTATTTCCTCAGCTCCCTGATCTTTAATTTGTTTTAGTGATACTGAAAGATCCGTCATTGAGAATAGAGCTCTTTGTAAAGAATGAGATTCGCCAGAATGGATAACATCAAAATTGGTAAATTTATACTCCACTTTAATACCGCGAACACGGAAAGCAACATCCTTGAGAAACTCGAGAAATATCTTTTTCTTCTTCTGCGATGCTCTCGCTTTGCGATTTATTGAAGAACCGACAAAGTTTACTAGAGGTAGGGGAAACCTAGAATTTTGAGGATTGTGATTTTGTGATTGGGTTTGAGGACCTCTGGTCGCTTTCTTGGGCATAGAAGATTTCACTGAATTAAGCAAAAGAAGGATGGAATCTATGCCCACACTGATTTCATCAAGCATTAGATCAGCTTCAAAGGCTATCAGAGAAGTACATGCAGGAGAAAGATGGCACGATAGAATTATTACAGTGGGGGAATTTAACGAAATCGCCGGTATTAGGTATTTTTTATTTTCCTTATGTTGACTTGTATTCAAAGAACTATTAATAGATGCGATATCATGAACCTTTAATTCAGAAAAAGAGAAATTGATGGTGAGAAGTTTACTTAAGAAAACGTGACGGTGATTTCTAATTGAGTGTCTTTGAGAATTCTGGAATTGCCACTGATTTGGAACTTTATCATATTGTTTTACTTCAATGTCCTTTGCATAAAAAATCATTCCCAAAGTTATCCCTTTCATATTGAATCGACCCAAATCCTCAATTAAAATGTCAATGCTTGTAATATTCGCATCAACATAATTGGCTATTCCTGAAATGAAGAATTGCAAGGGAATCGCCGACAATTTGGCGGCCACATATTTAACCAACCAAACATACGACCACCACGCCTTCTGCGGTACGGCCACAATAAAACTAGACTTTCTTCGGTGCATAAGTTTTCGTCGAGGAGGATGAGTGAACAGGCATACAGAAGAGCAAACTATTTTTAGATCACCAATTATTAGAGTAATCCAAGTTTTGCGCTCTGAATTCGGTCGCCTTATCCGTAATTGAAATTTGTCGATGGATATTTTAAAGGAGTGTTGACGAATTCCAAGGGATTTGGTCCCGGTATATGATATATCAAATATCGAGAGGAAGCCTAAGGAACCCACGTGGACTTTGTACTTTCTTTCGATGAAGGATGTGGCATACTTTGTGCCATAGTATAATATTATGCTCAACAATGCCAGTGCGATTAAAGACTGAACCGAAGATGAATTAAGTACCATTTTATATATATATTTTTAGGATTACATGAAAGAGATAATTTAAATGTCAAGAAAAAAAAAAAGCAGAATTTATTACGAAATTCCAAGATGTGCGTGTAATGTTTATTACATTTTAAGTTAGTCTTTCCCATGGTACTCACGTCAATACGTAATTAAGACTTGACGGCGCCAATTTTTCATTGTGCGTGTGTGTACGGGTGGTTGTGGTACAGTGCATGCAATATATATAGTAAAAAACCAATAAATAATTCTTGTTTATATTGCTAAACTACAACATTTCCTAGTAACAATAGGTAATATGTCGATATCCCAGAAAAAACCCCGCCGTCTCATAACTCTGATTTACACAACTTAAGGGAATACTTTAACCAACAAAATTATGTTATAATCGATATGAAAGAAATAAAGACCAACGGGGATAATGCACTACCGATATTACTGTGTATTACGTGTCGCATCGTACGTGTCGATTTTTTTTGGAAAAGATCAATGCCAAAAAATAAATTGAGAAAACAAAACAAATATATTTATGCAATGGTAGGTGGTCACGAATTTCTAAATATATAATATTTCACGAAAATATTTGGAATTCACAAAAAGAAATATTCATAAATTGCCCGATAATTTTACATACTGTATGTTCACTCACCTGCCAAAAGTATCCGACCACTTGATCATCGCAATTTTTAAAATTTAAAATCGATTTTGTTTTTATTATTATTAAAGAATTACTAAATAACTCTTATACTAATGTGTTCACAAAGGTCTGAATTTTTTATTAATATTATTAATATTTTGTTGGATTTCCATTACTATCTAATTTATTATAGCCTGAATTCTTCTTGATATACTTTCTATTAAATTTTCTAAATTTTTTAATTTGATTTGATTCCATTCTTCTTTTAAAATAGTCATTAATTCCAAAAGATTTTTTGGATGGGGATTATGTTTATGAATTCTTTTTTTTAAATATTCCATAAATGCTTAATTGGATTAAGATTTGATAATTGTGCAGATCAAAAAATATTTATTATCAAATTATTTTCTAATTAATATATTTTTATTCAATAAATTAAAGTATTATCATCTTAAAAAATATATTCTAAATTATTATTTAATTCATCAACAAAAGATAAAAGATTATTTTTCAATATATATGGATCTTATAATTTTATTAAAAACTTGAATCAAACGTTTAATCTTATTTTTTATAAAACACTTTATATTATTATATTTTATTTTCTTAATTTTACTATTATAATTAAACAACTTATATCATATTTTTTATATGTGGACATTATCAAACCAAATAATATAAATTATTTTGAAACAATAAAAAATAAAATTTGTTATTTTAGATTGTTGTATTCTATTCTAAATACCGTGATAAAAATAGCATCTACTACCATTGGATAGTTATTTTTAGTCATGATCTTCATTCTATTTCCATTTTTATTTAT